GGCCGGAGAGCAGATGATGACTGTGACGAGGAATGAGATGCAAAGAATGATAGCGGAGGCGGTGGCAGCCCGACTCGAGCAGGTACAAGTCGAGCAGCCCATGATCGAGCAGCCCAGGCTCGAGCAGCCCAGGCTCGAGCAGCCCAGAATCGAGCAGCGCAGGATTGAACCACCACCCCATGATCACGAGCAACAAGCCCAGTCCAATGATAGGAAAAACAGAAGGGTGGAGGAGGAGGCATCCTCCATTAGGACCGCTAATCCGCAGCCGAGAGATGAAACACTGGAGCAGTTGCTGGCCTATGTTCGTGATTTACAGGCCCGAGTCGAGGGGAGGAATGTCGGAGGCTCGAGGGGACATCCATTCTCGTAGCATATCCTGGATGTCGACCTGTCGCAAGGTTTTCGTGATCTAAACATAAGTTATGACGGGTCGACCGATCCATCTTGTCACCTGAGGAGTTTCGAGAATATGGCGGTCTTGCATCGCTATAATGACCCTGTGCAATGTCGAGCTTTCCTAACCACTTTGCGGGGATCTTCACAGGATTGGTTCCACCAACTACCAGCGGGAGCCATCAAGGATTTTGAAGGATTCAGTGCGAGTTTTCTCAATCAATTTGCAAGTGTGAGACCACAGGAGAAGTCGTATCTGACCTTAATGGGCATCCAGCAGAAGGAAGGTGAGTCGCTACGAGATTATGTGGCAAGATATACGCGAGCATGTGTCGAGGTGCCCAGGGCGTCAGAGGAGATAAAGGCAGGAGTTTTGACACGAGGGTTGCTACCAGGCTTGTGCAGCAATTCTCTGGCAAAAAGCACCCTGGTAGAACGTTCGACGAAGTGCTGGGGAGATGCGCGAAGTATATGAATGTCGAGGAGGCGAAGATCGATTTCTCGCGAACAGCTAAAGAAAGTAGAGCTGACCCTCGGGAAGAGAGAAGGGAGAAGAGAATTTCCTCGACTGGGGAGAGAAAGGGGTCCCCGCGAGCACAGAGAGAGGGGCGACCTAGGGGTTGGAGGCCGACTCAATACACCCCTTTGTCGGCCCCTCAAGCGTGAATTCTGGAAGTAATGGAAAAAAAATTCATGACAATGTTGTCAGATGGCCCAAAACGAGAAAGGATGGACCAACAAGACCGAAGAGTAACCTACACTGTCGATTCCACAAAGACTATGGTCACAATACTGACGACTGCAGGCACCTTAAAGACGAAATTGAAAGACTGATTAAGGCAGGACACTTGAAGGAATTTATATATAAGGATCGAGAAAAGTCGAATAGAAGAAGGGAAAGGAGCAGGAGCCCTCGCAAGAGGGCGATAACGCCGGAAAAAGTGGAGCTCCCACAGAAAAGGGGAACCATACATATGATATATAGAAGATCAACTAATGGGGATTCGAATCGAGCAAGGAAGGCATATGCCCGAGGGTGCCATGGGAAAGTCGAGATACAACAAGTCGATGAGAATGGACCGGTAATAAACTTCAGCCCAGCAGATGCGGGAGAAGTCGAGAGGCCTCAGAACGACGCATTGATGATAACGGCCCAAATATCGGGATATGAAGTGCAGAGAGTGTTCGTTGACACTGGGAGTTCCGTAAATGTGATTTTTTACGATTGTCTCAAAAGGATGGAGCCCGACATACAGCTCACACCCCTTCATATCTCACTATTCGATTTCAATGGGTCAGAGGTCGCGCCCCTAGGTGAAACCATGCTCGCTGTCGTTCTAGGGGAAGGTGACTTGCGGAAGGTGAAAATGGTGAGATTCGTGGTGGTTGATGTCGAGTCAGCTTACAATGTGATCCTGGGGAGGCCAGCACTTAACGCATTCCGGGCAGTAGTATCGACCTACCATATGAAGCTAAAGTTCCCAGTCGGAGACCAAATTGGGGAAGCTCGAGGAGATCAAAAGCTGTCGAGGACTTGTTATCAAATCGCTGTAAAAACCAACCAACGGGCCGAAGTTAAGGAGGGAAAGAAGCCAATGATGAGCGAGAAAAGGCCAAGGAATAGTGATCTCGAACCACACGGAGAGCTTATGGAAATACAAATCGGAGAAACAAAGGAACAGACCACTAAGATCGGGAAAGATCTGAAAGTCGAGCTACGAAACCAACTGGTCGCACTACTAAAGGAGTTCAGGATGTTTTCGCCTTCACCCCTGAGGAGTTGACAGGGATCGACCCCGCTATTATGGAACATAAACTCAACGTCGACCCCCTCAGAAAGCCAGTAAAACAGCGACTTAGACATCATGGTGAAGAAATCGACAAAGCAATTGAAGTCGAGGTTGATAAGTTGCTGCGGGCGGGACATGTCAACGAAATCCAATTTCCCGAGTGGATATCCAACACCGTGATGGTGAGAAAGGCGCTAAACAAATGGTGCATGTGCATCAATTTCCGTGACTTAAACTTAGCCTGCCCAAAAGATCATTATCCCCTACCACGAATTGATCAGCTCGTCGACTCTACGGCTGGTTGCGAATTATTGAGTATGATGGATGCATCTCAGGGATACCACCAGATCCTGTTATGCCCAGAAGATCAAAGTAAGGTGAGCTTCGTGACGAGTAAAGGGACGTACTGCTATGTCGTCATGCCTTTTGGACTTAAGAATGCTGGAGCAACCTACCAACGGCTGATGGATCGAATGTTCAAAGCTCAGATCGGGCGAAATATAGAGGTATATGTGGACGATATCTTGGTGAAGAGTAGAGCCTCGACCTCACACCCAGATGATTTAAGGGAAACATTTCAAACTCTTAGGGCATTCGGGATGAAGCTGAACCCAAACAAGTGTGCCTTTGGAGTAAAGGCAGGACGATTCCTGGGATATATCGTTACAGAGCGTGGAATCGAGGTAAACCGGGAGAAAGTGAAAGCCATACTCGACATGGACCCACCAAGAAGTATAAGAGATGTACAAGTTCTGACGGGACAAATTGCAGGACTGAGCAGGTTCATTGCTCGAGCCGCAGAAAAAAGCTTCCCGTTCTTCAAATTACTAAAGAAGAAGTCGACCTTCTCATGGAGTGACGAAGCACAAGTGGCCTTCGAAAAATTAAAAGAATTCTTGGGTGAGCTACCCTTGTTGATAAAACCAGAGCCCGGCGACGAGTTGGTGCTTTATATATCCGTGGGTTCGGTATCACTAAGTTCAGTGTTATTGCGAGAAGAAGGAGGTGTCCAACAGCCAATTTACTACACCAGTCGAGTTCTTCAGGGTGCAGAGACGAGATATTCTGAAATCGAGAAGGCCACCTTAACACTGGTGGTAACGGCTAGAAAACTAAGTCCATATTTCCTGAATCATGTGGTATTAGTCAGGACGAACTTTCAACTAGGTGAAACACTAGGCCGGCCCACGGTGTCAGGTCGACTCGTCAAGTGGGCAGTCGAGCTGAGCGAATATTCAATCAAGTACGAGCCAAGACGAGCCATAAAGGCCCAAGCCCTAGCAGATTTCATCCAAGAAGGTACAAAGGGGCAAGAAAAGAAATGGGTCATTCACGTCGACGGGTCCTCAGCGGCCAAAGGATCGGGTCTGGGAATTGTTCTCGTCTCACCCGAGGGCGAGCAACTTGACTTTGCTATTAGAATGGGATTTAAGGCCTCGAATAACGAAGCAGAATATGAGGCGTTAATCAAAGGAATTCAACTCGCAATTGGCGGAGGAGCGTCAGAAGTTGTAGCGCATTCCGACTCACAGTTAGTTGTTGGACAAGTGTTGGGAAGTTGCGAG